GTAGTAGTAGCAGCAGCAGCAGCAGTAACAATGATAAAATTAACAGTCAAAACAACATCAGTAACAACAACAAAACAACAACAATAATAATAATAAAAAACCGGAAACCCCACCCCTTAATAGGGCCTCTGCCTCGATGACGGCATCGATGGGCGGGGCTTGTATGGCCTTGGATAGAAACCAGCCAATAGGACCGAGTCTTAGGAGTTTGATTGACAGGCATAACTCATGCAGTGGACTTCTTAAGATCTCAGGGCATGTATACTGGTCTAATCTGTGTGAACAGTAATTATAAACTATAATAATAATATAATTATAATTATAACCATAAAAAATCTTTTAAATTATAATTATAACCATAAAAAACCTTTTAAATCATAATTATATTTATAACCATAAAAAACCTTTTAAATTATAATTATAACCATAAATTATAATCACAATTATAACCACAAAAAACCTTTTAAATCATAATCATAATTATAACCATAAAAAACCTTTTAAATTATAATTATAACCATAAATTATAATCATAATTATAACCACAAAAAACCTTTTAAATCATAATTATAATTATAACCACAAAAAACCTTTCAAATTATAATTATAACCATAAATTATAATCACATTTATAACCAAAGAAACCTCTTAAATCTCTCCCTACTACAGAGGTGGTAAGAGAAGCCGGGTCTGACACGGCCAGCCCGTCCCTTACGCTGCTCGAGGTTGGTCCTTGAGCACCAGACAACGGCATAGTTGGTCATGTTGTTGTGAGAGGTAAACATCTTTATCTTTGATCTTTTGTGAGATGTTGTTGTCATGGTGGTGTTGATGTGTTTGTTGTTGTGTTTGTTGTTGTGTTGATGTGTTTGTTTGTTGAGGTGTTGTTGAGTTTGTTGTTGTGGTGTTGATGTGTTTGTTATTGCTGTGGTGTTGATGTGTTTACTGTTGTTGTTGTTGTGCTGATGTGTTTGTTGAAGTGTTGTTGTTGTTGTGGTGTTGATGTGTTTGTTGAAGTGTTGTTGTTGTTGTGGTGTTGATGTGTTTGTTGTTGAGGTGTTGTAGTTGCTTAGGTGTTGATGTGTCTGTTGTTGTTGCGTGGGTGTTGCATTAGTTTAGACCTTGCTGATGGCTTGGTCTCGTAGTAGTAACGGTTCGATCGACGAACAACCGATTAAACATCTAATCAGCTAGATGACCCAATTAAATAACTAGGTCAATGACCTGATTAAATAATAATCCAACCACACACGCACACAAACACACACACGCACACACACTTACTTGCAGAAATCAATCACGTAGACAACGTCATCAATTGTGACGCTGGATTCAGCAATGTTTGTCGACAGGATTATCTAATGAATTGTATGTATGTTTGTATGTATGTATGTATAGTACGTATGTATATGTGTATGTATGTATGTATGTATATATGTATGTATGTTTGTATGTATGTATGTATGTGTGTATGTATGTATGCACATGTGTGTTTGCTTGTATGTGTGTATGTATGAATACATGACGACATAACCCAAATAAAACCATGCGAGGCATTTAATTGAGGTACTGGAACTGACGATCTACCGTGAAACTAATCTACTTCCATAGAAAAACAATACAAACGACAACAACATCTAAATTTAAATGCACATCTAAATACTGAATATACATCCACTCACTCACATACACCACTAAAAACAAAATAATGACCTTGACCTAAATAAAACTCGACCTTGACCTAAATAACCACCAACTGACCTTCGTGACCCCTTGTGGCACTGGCTCGAACACCTTGTGCTGTTCCTCGCGCGGGATTTGCGAATGCAGCGGAAGGATGCGGTACCTGCTGCTGCCTGCTCTTTCCAAGTTAATGAATATACATCACGCATATCGTCCTGTCCTCGTTATTATGTTAATGAGTGCGCGCGATTATGTTAACGAGTGCGCGCGATTATGTTAATGAGTGGGCAAGGAGATTGAGGTACTGGAACTGACGATCTACCGTGAAACTAATCTACTTCCATAGAAAAACAATACAAACGACAACAACATCTAAATTTAAATGCACATCTAAATACTGAATATACATCCACTCTTCTACAATAACTAACACGTTTCAATTGTCGCCAGTCGGTCTCTACAATGATTTTAATTTATCGCTAGTCAAATGTTCATGGCAATCAATTTCATTTTCAACTTCAAACTAATTAACTGTTCTACCAGCTCGTCACACGCAATTCACTGCAATAGAAACAACATCGCTTAATGCTGTTTAAACATAGGTAACTCTTGCGCCAGTGCACTTGTCGTCGGCAATGAGGATGGCTGGGTCGAACACTAAACTTGATTATTTTATTTATCCCTTAAAAACATTTTATTGCAATATATTCTCATTATTTGATTTCGGCTTTCGAGAAATTAAAGAGTTTTCATTATTATTATTATTATTATCATCATCATCATCACCGACCAATGATTGGATGTTGACTGAGATATTTGTGTAGTGTAAAGATGATGTTCCAGCCGGACAGGAAGATCAGAATGGCCCCTGGAATGTTCTTCGTGGAAATGTGCTTGATCAGTGCCTGCTCGTGTGTGTGTGTGTGTGTGATTGGTTGGTTGATTGAATGGTTGATTGATTGATTGGCTGGTTGATTGAGTAATTGGTGGTATATTTATTGTCAATCAGTCAGTCAGCCAGCCGATCAGTCAACTAACCAGCTAATCAACCAATCAGCCAACTAACCAACCAACCAACCAACCAACCAGCCAACCAATCAATCGATCGATCAATCAATAAATCGACCTTGACCTACCTCGACCAACTCAAAGTCATGCTCCTTCTCACTCATCATGGACATGGCTCGTTTGGTGTGCTCCGAATAACTACCAGATACATACATGTTACAATTTTCCTGATGATGATAATGATGATGATGATGATGTCGTCAGTGATGATGATGATGATGTCGTCGGTGATGATGATGATGATGTCGTCGGTGATGATGATGATGACGACTGCAACTTAACAACTACAACAAAAGACAACACCAGCACCACCAACATCCTTATCTTCTTTGCCTGTAGAAGCGACTGAAGCGGCGTCATCGTCGTTATCTTCGTCAATGACAAGATCGACGTCGTCGTCGTCATTAATATCGTCTTTGTTGTTGTTGTTGTTTCGGCGTTTCTTCAAGTTCGGTGTCGGTGTGAACCTTAGCATTTCGACCACGTCTTCAAGGAAGTATTCTGACGAAAGATGATGAAGCAGAAGATGAAGATGAAGATGATAACTTTGGTGGGTAGAAGCAGAAGATGAAGATGATAACCCTGGTAGGAGTAGAAGATGAAGATGATAATTTCAGTGAGTAGGAGATGAAGATGAAGGTGAAGAAGATAATTTCAGTGAGTAAGGTGACTCTGATGATACTGATGAAGATCGTTTTAATGATGATGTCAATGATGATGATGTCGATGATGACGATGTAGTTGCTGATGTTTGCCGCGATATGATGATGACGTCATTAATATAATGACAACAATGACAACAACAACAACAAAAACAACAACAACAACTTACAACGAAACAAATTTGTACACAGGCATACGTGATATAAAGTAACGAAAAATATCGAATATACCGATACGCCAAAAGTACCGAAGAAATCGATTGTATCAGGTATACAGACCCTCATTGGAGTAACGAATATTCGGAAAAAACCGACTATACCTTCTACGTCATAAGTCCGCCCAGACACTTCAACTAATTGACAGCTGTCCGAGAAATATTCTTGAAATGTTGTCGTGTCTATGGTCGCAGACATCAAGACGACACGCATGTCTGGAAATGTCTGGACCATGTCTCGTAGCAAAATTAACAGGAAATCCGTCTGTTGTTGTTGATGTTGTTGTTGTTGATGTTGTTGCTGTTGTTGATGTTGTTGTTGTTGTTGTTGATGATGTTGTTGTTGTTGATGTTGCTGTTGTTGATGTTGTTGATGTTGTTGTTGTTGTTGATGTTGTTGTTGTTGTTGATGTTGATGTTGCGTTTGTGATGATTTTTTTGTGATTGACGTTGATGTTATCTCAGTAGTAATTTCATTATCATCATCATCATCAAAAACGTCACAATCACCACCACCACCTACAACATCAACAACAACAACACCAACAACAACAACAACGACGGCAACACCAACAACGACAACAACAACAACAAAACCAACAACGACACCAACAACATCATCAACAACGACACCAACAACGACAACAACAAGACAGACGTTGATATCTCTCTCGTGAATCTCATCGACGACCACATGCGAAACACCTCTCAGGCCAGACTCCAACTTCCGCAACAAACAACCTGTCAATCAACCCTCATCATCATCATCGTCGTCGTCGTCATCATCATCACCAACAACATCACCATCATCATCAACATCGTCATCATCATCAACATTGTCATCATCACTTTTACAACCACTACTGGTACTACTACCACTACTGCTACTACTACTACTGTTACTACAACTACTACTACTACTGTCACTACTACTATTGCTACTACTACCACTACTACCATTACTACTACCACTACTACTAGCGATTTTACCATAAAACGCCAGACAAAGGTTCCAGTAAACAAGACATAGAGACTAGCTGACCTACGGTGCAGTAGAGAATGCTTCCGTATGGCCTGGGCAGACAGGATTCGAACCTGACACTGTAGCCACAAGTCTGCCCCAGGGGCTCGCATCTTTCGGCGGCCACGCGTTCCGAGATGGAGATGGCGCTAATACGGCGGGGCTGATTGGTCAATTGAAGTAGTATGACGTTTGTGATTGGTCAGTTGATTGGGATAAATGTTTGCGATTGGGCAGTAGGAAGAATGTGAATGTTTGTGATTGGTCATTTGGAAGAATGTGAATGTTTGCGATTGGTTATTTGGAAGAGTGTATGCAATTGTTGGTTGTCATGCTTGGAAGTTTACAATT